ATAGCTGGAGAGCTGGATGCATATATAATCGGGGGGATGAATGTAAGTAAAATGTGATATAAGCACACTACAGAATATTCTACCACAGTAGCAAGCAACGAACTGGATATGCACACAAGGTCAAGAAATACACGGTTCTGTCCAGGTAATCCTAACACTTTGGGAGGCTGAGGCAGGAGGGTTGCTTGAGCCCAGGAGTATGAGACCAGCCTGGGCAAGATGGTGAGACCCTGTCTCTACAAAAAACAAACAAGAACAGAAAAACCCCAAAACTCCATAATGCTGAATGGGAGAAAAAAGAAGTAAGGAACAGAAAGAGGTCTCCAGCACAATACTATTTCTGGAAATTAAAAATACATATCCACAAAATAGTGCCACATGCTTTTGAGAACTCTCAGAAATACAACGATTTACGAGTCTTAGTCACCGCATCAACTTTACTTTTGAACTCTTGGAAATTACGCATCAGTACCACCTGGTGGTAGCATTTCAAATTTGTGGCATAACAGTTTTTAACAAGGTATCATTTACATGCAGCTATATGCATAGATCTTAATTTGATGATTTTCGATAAGTGAATACTCCAATGTAATCCCCACACTAAGCAGTATGTAGAGTATTTCATCACCCCAGAAGATTCCCTCCTACTCTCCCCATGCCCTACCCTGAAAGCAACAACTGATCTGTCTCTGTCACTACAAATTAGCTTCCCCTGTTGTAGAACTTACAAATGTGGAATTATAAAGTGCATACTCTTTTGTGTTTGCTTTCTTTCAGGAATCATAATGTTTTTGAGATTCAGTCACGTTGTAGCATGTATCAGTAGTTAATTCATGTTTGTTGCCAGGTGGTATTCCACTGCATAGCTGTATTACAGGTTGTTTATCTGTGCACCGACTGACTGACATTTGGGTTATCTCCACTTTTTATCTAATACAAATAAACCTTCTATGAATATTTATGAATAAGACTTTGTGTAGACATGTGCTTTTTATTTACTGTGGATGAAACTGCAAGGTCATAGCATGGATGGATGTGTAATTTTTTAATTGCCAAAAACAATTCTCCACCTAAGTTGTATCATTTTACACATCCACCAACAATAAATTTATATCAGCAAGAAAAATATGAACAACCCAATTTATTTAAATAGGCAAAAAAACGTGATTTGACACTTGAAGATATACAAGTAGCTATTAAGTACATGAAAAAGTGCCCCATTATTAGTCTTCAGGAAAATGCAAACTAAAACCACAATGAGATATCACTTTACGCCCACTAAAATGTTAAAAGCAAAATGTTGAGGATGTGGAGAAACTGGAGGCAATTGGAAATCACACACACACACACACACACACACACACACACACACACACCAGCGCTCTCAGGTCACCAGCTCAATTCCTTCACAAAAGAAGGACTCAGCTTGCGACTTGCACATTTCCACATAGGCTACTGTTGGTCACACCTGGAAAGCTGAAAGGCAGAAGGACAAAGCTGATGCTTTGCATTGGTGGCATGGAGCCACTGGAGTGCCAGAGGAATATACTGGGGCAGGCTCTTGTGCCTGTTTCTGCTTCTCCTCACCTCTGTCTTCCTCCTTTTCATAACAGCATCATGTATTAAGTTTTGTCATGAGCCAGGCATTTAATATGTACTTTTTTTTTTTTTTTTTTTTAGTTAGAGACTCACTCTGTCACCCAGGCTGGGGTGCAGTGGTGCGATCTTGGCTCACTGCAACCTCCGCTTCTGGGGTTCAAGCGATTCTCCTGCCTCAGCCTCCTGGGTAGCTGGGATTACAGGTGCCCGCCACCAGGCCAGGCTAATTCTTTTGTAATTTTAGTAGAGACAGGGTTTCACCATTTTGGCTAGGCTGGTTTCGAACTCCTGACCTCAAATGATCCTCCCGCCTTGGCCTTCCAAAGTGCTAGGATTACAGGCAAGAGCCATCTTGCTCAGCCCCAATATATACTTTTTAATACAACACTTCAAGGTAGGCATTATTATTGTTGTTGTCATTTTTGAAACAGGGTCTCACTCTGTAGGTCAGGCAGGAGTGTAGTGGTCCTCACTACAGCCTCGACCTCTGGGCTCAATTAATCCTCCCACCCCAGCCTCCCAAGTCGCTGGGACTATAGGCATGTGCTACCATGCCTGACTAATTTTTCAATGGGTGTTGTCAAGACAGTGTCTTGCTATATTGCCCAGGTTAATCACAAACTCCTGGGCTCGAGCAATCCTCTCACCTCAGCCTCCCAAAAATGCTGGGATGATAGGCTCAAGCCACAGAACCCGGCCACACATTAATCCTATTTCATAGATGAGGGAATTTGGGCTCCTGGGTTGAGGAATTCACTTAAGGTCATAGAGCTCTGGATTCATGTCCCACGGCTGCAGTAACAAATTACCACAAACACAGAGACTTCAAACATCAGTGTATGCTGTTCCCCTTGAGGGTCAGAGTCTGAAATGGGGGGCAAGCCTGCGCTCCCTCTGGGGACCCTAGGGAAGAAACCATCCCTTGCCCTTGCCAGCTTCTTGGGGCTGTCTCCACCCCTGGGCTCCAGGCCTACATCACTCCCATTCTGCTTCCATCATCACAGCTCCTTCTGACTCTCCCGCCTCCCTCTTATGAGAACCTTATGGCCCAAGTTCACCCAGGTAACCCAGGATACCCTCCACATCTCAAGATCCTTCCTTTGATCACAGATGAAGAATCCCTTTTGCCATGTGAGGTAACGTATTCATAGGTTTGGGAGATAAGGAGGTAGGTATTTGGGTGGGGGGACAGCAGAAGACCCTAAGGCTGGACACATCAGGAGGAGGAGCTTCTGGCTAGAGTCTAAGGACTTCTTTTCAAATCTGAGAGGGAAGAAGAAGGGAGAGGGCCATGACTCCACGGCCATACCCCATTCATCATAAAGGGAGGGTGAGGGTGGCTCTCAGGGCCAGGCATGAAAGGTTCTGCGAAGGGAGCAGTGCACCCTCTGAACAGTACCAAGGACAACACAGGTGCTATGTGAGTGTTGGTAAGGAGTGTGCAGGTTGCTGTGGTCAGTGGCAGGGTGGGTACAGTATTTTGGACCCTGTGTCTAAACTTAGCCTGGCCATGGATACTGCCAGGGGTAGTGTATGGGAAGATGCCAAGCTGGGGTCACGTGGGTCCTGCCTGCTGAACCTATGAGTGCTGTAGGGCATGAGTAGCAGCTTCTCCCACCTTCTCCTTGGGCCCTCTGGATTGATTGCCTTCTGGAGAGGGTCTATATTCAGGAACCTCTAGACCTTAGCCCGGCCCAGCTGCAGGGAGGTTCCACTTGTGGTCCACTGGCAACTTCCTGCCATGGCTGGACCACAGAATTTTCCATGAAACTCACTTCAAATTGTGCGGCTCCTTCAGCTCCTGCTATTTCAGTTACTGGGCCAGGATACGCTTCTGAGTGTGTATACTTGAAACCAGAATCTATGGTGGGCAGGGGAATCTGGTTAAGAGTCTGGGATTTAAAATCAGACATTGGTTTGAATGCTGGCTCTGCCACTTACAATGCTGGAAACTTTGAACATGTCATTTAATTTTTCTGAGCCTTAATTTTCTCATCTGTAAAATGGATATAATTATAAGGCCCATCTCATATTGTTTTTGTGAGTTTTATATAATACACGTAAAGTTTTAAGCACCATGAGGAAGAGCTTTCAGTATGCCAGAAGCTTGGTTATAGCATTTAACAAAAATATCCCATTAATCTGAACTAGAAGTTATTTTTAACCCCCTTTTATTAAAGAGGAAAATAGGGCCAGGTGTAGTGGCTCACATCTGTAATCCCAGCACTGTGGGAGGCTGAGGTGGGTGGATTGCTTGAGCTCAGGAGTTCAAGTCCAGTCTGGCCAACATGGTAAAACCCCATCTCTACAAAAATTGGCTGGGCATGGTGGCATATGCCTGTAGCCTCAGCTACTCAGGAGGCTGAGGTGGGCAGATCCCTTGATCCCAAGAGATGGAGGTTGCAGTGAACCGTGATAGCACCACTGCACTCCAGCCTGGGTGATGGAGTGAGACCCTGTCTCAAAAAAAAAAAAGAGGGAATTTACTCGAGGTCACACAGATGGTTAAGTGACAGAGCCACAATCAAACAGGGTTGGCCCCTGCTCTTTCCACCTTGCCAGTGCCTGTCTTCAGCCTCTCCCCTTCTCAGTCCTCATAGAAACCTGGCATCCTAGACAGGAGGGGACAGCAGCAGTTGGACACATTAAGAGTTCCTGGTGTGGATCTAAGGACCCCTCTTCAAGGCTGGGAGAAAGAGGTGGGCAGGAGACTCTGGCAGGAGACCATGCCCAGATCACACCCACCACAGGGAGAGGGCAGCAGAGATCTTCAGGCAGCTCAACGGCCAGGCAGGAGACAATCATCAGGGAGGGGCTGACAAGCCCTGAGGCCACTTGTCAACACACTGACTCACTGCAAATATTTACTGGGCACCTTTAAGCATGACCGGACCTCTCCCTCGCCTGTCTTGGACCATTGCCCATGGGCATGCTGAAAATGCCTGCCTGGAAGTGAGTCTGCCTTGAGAGGGTGGGTACCAACCAGGGCCACCTTGGATGTGGAAGGGAGCATCATGGAAAGGAAAGAATTTCCAGGGCTCCTGGGACTGACTAAAGACTTTATTTAGCATTTTGGGCTCTTAGGTTGTGCCTTTTGCCAGGCCCCCAAATCACTAATCATTTTATCCTGTTCCTTTGGCAACAGTAAGATACGTGTGACCTCAGCCTGGCCCATCATAGATGCCCAATTTCCAGGCCACATTGATTGGTCCAGAGATGAGCACATGACGTATCCAGTACAATCAGAGTCTTCTCTTGGGCTTTTTAAAATTTATTTATTATTTTTTAAAGACGGGGTTGCACCGTGTTGGTCAGGCTGGTCTTGAACTCCCAACCTCAGGTGATCCACCCGCCTTGGCCTCCAAAGTGCTTGGATTACAGGCATGAGCCACCACGCCGTGCCCTCTTGGGCTTTTATACACTGAAGGAGGCTGTGGGGAGAGAAGAAAAATCCCCTCTGTTTTTTTTTAGTTCACAAAGTCAGGAAATGCAGTCGCAACCATGCCTCCCCTCCCCTAATGGCAAAGAGTAAGTTTGTTTATAAGCAGAAGAGCATGGTGACAGTGCCCCAAAGAGAAGTATCAGAGTGGAGGATTGTGAACAAAGCTTTGGTGTTCCCCAGCACATCCCAGGATCCTTTGGGCAGGTTGCGTGGCCTCTGAACTTTGCTGCTGGGTATCTTACCTGCCCCCATTCCAACTCAGTAAACCCTGCAGTGCCCATGGAATCTAAAAGGAATAGAACTCCCTGGAGCTGAACAGAACACATTCCACACAACCACATCAGGTAGTCCTGATTACAGATGAGCAACTGAGGCTCAGAGGTGCAATGACTCGCCCAAGGTCACACAGACAAGGTGTCCAAGAGCCCAGGCACTGATGGCCTCCCGGTCCACCCCTAAGACACTGCACAGCCCAGAGAGGAGAGGCCACTCTCAGCACCCCAACATGAGTCTAGGAGCCATTACTTTATGTAGCACCCCTGTATCTAGGAGCCATTATGAGGCCCTTGTTGGTCCAGCCTTATGAAGCCCTGGGCTCTTGTGAGTGAATTCATCCTATAGGTGAAAGATCAGCATGTGGGCATGGTGAAACCCTGTCTCTACTTAAAATACAAAAACTAGTGGGCCTGGTGGCTGTAATCACGCTCTCCCGCTGTAATCCCAGCTACTCGGAAGGCTAAGGTGGGAGAATCCTTTGAAACCAGGAGGCGGGGGTTGCAATGAGCTGAGATCATGCCTGGGCAATAGAGCAAAACTCCGTCTTAAAAAAAAAAATCAGGCTGGGCGCGGTGGCTCAAGCCTATAATCCCAGCACTTTGGGAGGCCGAGGCGGGTGGATCACGAGGTCAAGAGATCGAGACCATCCTGGTCAACATGATGAAACCTCGTCTCTACTAAAAATACAATAAATTAGCTGGGCATGGTGGCACGTGCCTGTAATCCCAGCTACTCAGGGGGCTGAGGCAGGAGAATTGCCTGAACCCAGGAGGCGGAGGTTGCGGTGAGCCGAGATGGCGCCATTACACTCCAGCCTGGGTAACAAGAGCAAAAACTCCATCTCAAAAAAAAAAAAAAAAAAAAAAAAAAAAAATCAGCATGTGGGGAAGGTTTAGTGACACCTGTGGCTTTTGTCTGACCAGTAACATTTCTCCCTTCGGTAATAGGATCCCAAGTTTTCTTTGGAGGCCTACTTACCTTCATTGGATATAAATAAGGGACTGTCAATCAAAATGTCTTCCCTTCCCTGGTCAGAAAGTAGACATGGGCTGGGCACAATGGTTCACGCCTATAAGCCCAGCACTTTGGGAGGCCAAGGCAGGTGGATCATTTGAGCCCAGGAGTTTGAGAACGGCCTGGGCAACATAGGAAGACCCTGTCTCTACAAAATAAAAATAAAAAATTAGCCAGGCATGGTGATGGGTACCTGTGGTCCTAGCTACTTGGAAGGCTCAGGAGAAAAGATCGTTTGAGTCAAGGCTGCAGGGAGCTGTGATCTCACCACTGTGCTCCAGTATGGGCAACAGAGCAAGACCCTGTCTCCAAAACAAAAACCCAGAAAGTGAACACGTAACTCTAGGTTTTCAGAGCTTGGTTCTTTCAGGGTGTAGTTTTTTTCAGACTGTCACCTAGTTTTTTTGTGCGGCTGTGATTGTAGGCACTGTCGCTGTCCCACGCACACTGTTTACCACTCCCCATTCTTGTGTATCCCTGTGGCTTCCATCTGCAACCCTGTAGTCCTTTGCCTGAAGGCTTCCTCCAGCAGCCCAGAGACATGAAAGGAGCTGGCCAAGAGGGCCAGGAAGTTAATGGTCCCTCTTCCAGCAGCCTTCAATCAGCAACTTTGAGAGTTGGTGGATATTTACCCCAATTCCTTCACCCCTCAGTAAGGATAACTCTGAGATGTGTGCCACACAGTGTCCCGGCCATTTCTGGTTGGATTGAGGCCCAGTTTCCCCAGTGGTAATCTCAGCAATGCATACTTTATTAGTTCCCTTCCCTGCCTTCCTTATTCCCACTCTCCTGCAAGCGTTTCCTGGGATGGCCTCCCAGAAAACGACTTGGAATCTAATATGCTTTTCTCAGGGTCTGCCCTTGAGTGAGTCCAACCTAAGACAACACCACATCCTTCTGGAAAATTATTTTTCTGCTTAAGTTTGCCAAAGTCTGCTTCTGTTGCTTGCAACCCAAAGACCCTATGCTTAAGTTTGCCAAAGTCTGCTTCTGTTGCTTGCAACCCAAAGATCCTATCATAATTAATAGTGGTCTGGAGTTGTGTTATGTTGCACCAGGCTGTGACAACCTGTAATTTTTTCTCAAGGTCATCAGAGCTCTGGAAGGGAAGGGGGTATCAAGAGATTTTGTTCTAAGCTCTTTTCTATGTATGCTCAGAGGACTTGAGCCATTAGTTATGTCCATGAATGGAAATGTTTGGATGGCACATGGCCCCAGGACACCAGCTCAATTGCACATCCGTACTCCTCAGTGAGGACTATATGATAATCCCTCACGGTTGGAGGTGATCAAGGCAAGATAGGCACCGAAGCTGTTTCCTGTGAGTTTAGCAGATGTCTTGGGGTAGCTTTTGGAGATAAAGAACCATACTCAGGTCTTAGAGGAGATACCAAGTTCTTAGGTCTTAGCCAGGTTGGCTAAGAGGTAGTAGAAAATGTGGTCCTTGACATACAGTACCACCTCTGTTCCCACCTATATAGACATAGCATAGGATGTCACTGGCTGGACCCAATGGACCCACTAGAGTCCCGCTTATCCTCGGAGCTTACTCAAGCCCTTGGTCTATAGACCAGGCATCTGAAGCTGGGATCCTTGCTGTCCTGGTATTTCATCCAGTGCAGGATACATTCACATAGTCAACACATACGTGCCAGGCCCTGGGCAGAGCACTGGGGATATGAAGTGAATGAAATGTCCCCCTGTCCCTCTCTTTAAGGAAATATGACAGACAGTCACATGAGCAAGATAAGGTCATGAAACATTACAGGTGCTGATGGAATAGATGTCTGTGCAAATGTGGGCCCCAAATGGAGTGGGCTGAGGGTCTAAGAGGAGAGCCTGAGAGGGGCACACCAATTAGAGAGAACAGCGTGAGAAAAGCCTTGGAGGCATGAAAGCCTGCAGGTGGTTCTGTCTGATGGAATGAAGGCTCAAGTGGCCAGAGTTGAAGTTGGAGAGGCCAACAGAGGACCAGTCAGGGCGGAACTTGCATGTCATACAAACCAAGGAACTTGGTTTCTATGCTTGAGTCAATAGTGATTGAATAATTTTAGTTGAATTGACTAACCATAATTGAATATTAGGCAGAGGGATGATGTGGTTATTTTTGAGTTTCGGAAAGAAGGCTCTGGAAGCAGAATGGCTTGGAGGAGGAAAGACTGGAGGCAGGGAACCAGCATGAGTAATGAAGTTGAGGGGTAGCAGAAGCTGAATTAGAGGAAATATAGAGGAGGTGATGGATATGAGAGGTGTTGAGGAGGTGAAATCAGTAAGAATTTGTTCCTGGGATACAGAGGTGAAGGAGAAGTTCAGGATGGTCCCCAGATTAGCCTAGGGCACTGGGATGATGGTAATGCTGTCCACCCAGATGGGGGAACTGGGAGATAGGGCAGCTCTGGGTGAACAGAAGATGGAAAGTTGACTTTTTGGACATGTTGAGAAGAGGGTCCATAGGATAATGGGGTGGAAGGAATATCTCTATCATGATTTCTATCACTGCTCTCTCACCAAAGCATTTTATAAATATCTGCTCAAGTGTCCATTCCACCTCTCCACCACTGATGAACCACAAGCTCCTTCAGTCCAAGTCTCACTCATCTCTGGAGTCCCAGGGGCTGTTGCCCAACAACAGGTGCTTAGTAAGTGCCCATTGAACAGCAGAATGGATGCCCCCATGGAGTGATGACTTCAGCCCATTTTATCACTGAGTGTTCCTTGGAGTCAAATCCCAAAAAAGTAGACAAAATCTCTCCTTAAAGGAGTCTCCTCCTGCTGCTGACCCCCTACAACTCTGGACCAAGTGGAATGGGCAGATGGGCTCCAGACCTGGGACATGGAGTTGGCTGAGGGGCCCAGGACAGGCTATGGAGCTGGCTTGGTCAAGACAGGTCTGCAAGTGTTTCCTGGAAGCTGCCCACACCTGTGTAGCTCATACAGGTTTCCAGGCAGGTGGGGGCACTTTGGGCTGGAGGAAGGGTGGAGCAGGATGTGAGCTGGAGACCAGAGAAGGTGGTCCAAGGCAAACTGGCCATGCTGGCCATGCCATCTGGCAGGCCCAAGGTTTGCTGGAGCTCAGCTCACCCACGTTAAGCCAAACAAAGCCTCTGTCCCCTCCACCCATCAGCAGAACTCATGACTCAGACCTGATGGATCCAGCATTGCCGTCATCAAGGAGTGGCGGCTGTTTTCCTCGAGAAGCAGGGCACCAGTCCAATCTTAGCAGATGGCATGAAGGCTCCTGGGTGAGGCTGGGGAGTGTTGGCCCAGCCAAGGGGCAGGTCCCATGTTTTCATTCTGACCTGGGATAGGAGATGCAGGAATTGCCCAGCTTACCTGCCTGAGCCCAGTTTTAGGAAAGCTCTGTCCTAACTGTATTGATTCCAGTACCTGTGCAGATGCCCAGGGCTTTTAGGTCTTACCCTCTGCTCTGCTTCCAGGAATGCCCACTTAAGCCCCTTCCTTGGTATCACAGCAGCTACACACATCTCATCTCACATTCTCCTCTCCAGGGCCCTCACAGCTGCCCTGGGAGGCAGGCTGGTGACAGTACATATTGGTGAACCCAATATGGGAGATGGGAGATGTGCAGGCCCAAAGAGGGGAAGGGATGCACCCAAGCTCACCTAAGAAATTGCTGGCTGTGCTGGGATCTGCGTGTATAACCTGGCCCTCACCTCCTGCCACTGACTCCCTTGTTCATTCCACTTGGGCTATACTGGACTCCTTGGTGTTAAAGCTGCCAAGCCTGTTCCCATCTCAAGGCCTTTGTACTTGCAGTTCCTCTGCTTGGCAGGCTCTTCCCCCTAATCTCTGCAGGACTCGTTTCTTCTCTGATCAATTGCTACTATTTAAAGAGAAGCCTGGCCAGACGCAGTGGCTCACTGTGTCACAATCCACGCAGTGGATTACGCCTGTAATCCCAGCACTTTGGGAGGCCAAGGTGGGAGGATCACCTGAGGTCAGGAGTTCGAGACCAGCCTGGCCAACATGGTGAAACCCAATCTCTACTAAAAATACAAAAAAAATTAGCCAGGCATGGTGGCAGGCACCTGTAATCCCAGCTACTTGGGAGGCTGAGGCAGTAGAATTACTTGAACTGAAGAGGTGGGGGTTGCAGTGAGATGAGAAGGCACCATTGCACTCCAGCCTGGGTGATAAGAGTGGAACTCCAACTCAAAAATAAACTAAAAGCCTCTCCTTTGTCACTCTCCTCTTAGGCCACCTGATTTCTCTTCCACACCACATGTCATGTGTTTATTCTTATATTTCTTTGTTGGAAAGATAGGTTGGAATCAGATGTTGAAGGGGGGTGAACACCAGGCTAAGATTTTGCTTCTTTCTGTTGGCAGTGGACACCATTATAGTATTTTGGGCAAGATGACCTGGTCAGCATTGCTCTTTAGGAAGCTTGTCCTGGACGCTGTGTACAGAGTAATTTGGAACGGCAGTTGGAGAGCCAGGGATATGAGTCAGGACACTACTGAGGTGGCCAGGGTGGAGACAATGGTGGCCAGGAATAGCGTAGGGTGGGGGTGTAGAGGGGCAGGGATGGATTCAACAGCTACGTAGGAAGCAGAACCTGGACCCTCCATGGAAAGGCAAACAAGGCTGAAGGGTCAATGCCTGGGATTCCACTGCTAGAGGTTATTGGGATGTGAGGCACGCGAGCAGAGATCAAGGCTGATTTAGCCCCCACTGACCATTTCAGACTCCCCGAATGCCCCTCTCTGGCTCCCTGACCCCACCTTACCTACATGGCTTCTGTTCTTCAGATGTGACTAGCTGCTTCTTACCTCAGGGCTCTCACACATTCTGTTTCCTCTGCTTGCAGCACTGTTCCACTTGGCTACAGCCTGTCCTGCCTGCTCACTTCTTGGCATCTCTGATCTCAGATGGATAGGTCACTCTTGGATCCTCTCACAGAACGGAGCACGTGTCGTTTTCGGGACTCACTCCAGCAGTGATACAATGCTGCTGCTTGGTTAGTACTGTCGCTCCACTTAACCAAAGCTTCTGGAACACAGGAACTGCATCTGACTCACTCTCTGCCATATCCAAGCACTCAGCATGGAGCATGGCACTTAGCTGCTCATTAAACTCTTACTAAATACATGAATGGTGAATTCATGAGTGAAACTCAGCATCTGTATTTGTAAATTCTCCCCTATGAAAATCCAATCTGCAGACAGAGCTGAAAAACACTGCTCTAAATAAATTAGAGAAATATGTATGCAAAAGAAATTTATGTTTAGCCGGGCGCGGTGGCTCAAGCCTGTAATCCCAGCACTTTGGGAGGCCGAGGCGGGCGGATCACGAGGTCGAGAGATCAAGACCATCCTGGTCAACATGGTGAAACCCCGTCTCTACTAAAAATACAAAAAATTAGCTGGGCATGGTGGTGCGTGCCTGTAATCCCAGCTACTCCGGAGGCTGAGGCAGGAGGATTGCCTGAACCCAGGAGGCGGAGGTTGCGGTGAGCCGAGATCGCGCCATTGCACTCCAGCCTGGGTGACAAGAGCGAAACTCCGTCTCAAAAAAAAAAAAAAAAGAAATTTATGTTTATAAATCTGAAGTTCTTTAAGAGCAAATAACCAAATTACTTATTCGTGAATACTGTGTAAGTATGGGGGAGTTTTAGATGTTGATTTTTCTTGAAAAGAATCTCGTTGGCTAACACCCTTTCTGGCATTAGCCCACCTGCACCCAGGTGAATAAAGAAAAAAAGAATCTTGTCAGTATTTAACCTGTGAAAATGCAAATGAGACCGGGCTAGGTGGCTCACACCTGTAATCCCAGCACTTTGGGAGGCCGAGGCGGGCGGATCACAAGGTCAGGAGTTCGAGACCAGCCTGGCCAACATAGCGAAACCCTGTCTCTACTAAAAATATAAAAAATTAGTCCGGCGTGGTGTTGGGCGCCTGTAATCCTACCTACTCAGGAGGCTGAGGCAGGAGAATCACTTGAACCCGGGAGGCGGAGGGTGCAGTGAGCTGAGATCGCATGCACCACTGCACACCAACCGAGGCAACAGTTCAAGACTCTGTCTCAAAAAAAGAAAGGAAAATGCAAATGAACACATAATATCTGCAAAACAAGAAGTCATCCTCCTTTTAATGTTTTTTGTTCATTTGTTTTGTTTTGTTTTCAGACAGTTTCGCTCTTGTTGCCCAGATGAAGTGCAATGGCATGATCTCATCTCACCACAACCTCTGCCTCCCGGGTTCAAGCGATTCTCCTGCCTCAGCCTCCCAAGTAGCTGGGATTACAGGCATGCGCCACCATGCCCAGCTAATTTTGTATTTTTAGTAGAAATAGGGGTTTTTTGATCTGCCTGCCTTGGCCTCCCAAAGTGCTGGGATTACAGGCATGAGTCACTGTGCCCGGCTCCTTTTTATGTTTTGCTTTGTTTTGCCTGTTAGCTGTGCCCACCTTGTGGTACCAAAAAAAAAAGTGAAATAAAAAAGTTAAACAGGATCATTTCCGCTTACATTTACAGTTCATTTCATTTCTGCAAAATGTTTTCCCATCTGCTATCACTGCCCCTGTCCTCACAGCAGCCCTGGGAGAAAGGCAGAGCCAAAATTATCATCTCCACTTCGTGTATGGGTGATCTGAGGCCCAGTTAAGAAAAGTGGCTTTACCGAGGTCCCAGAGTTGGTTGCTGGAAACACTGGCAAAGGAATCCAGGCTCCAGCCCCCTTCTCTGCCTCATGACATCTTCCAGTTGCTTTTTTCTCTCTTTCTCTTTCTCTCTGCCTTGGACTCTCTCTCTTTCTACTTCAACTTTCCTCTCCTTGCTTGAACCCTCAGATTGGAGTCAGCTTTGCAAGCTATCCAAACTTTTTGTCACTCTGGAAACCCACCAGCCCCATGGCCACATCCCCATTTCACCATGAGCTCAGCATCTCTACCTAGAGCAAGCCCTTTCCGGATGCCAGTGTGCAGAGATCAACTCTGGCTTCTTTATCTTGCCCCACGTAAGATAAGATAAGGGAAGTAGCACTATAAATAGGCCCCCATCCTTCCCCAGGCCCAGCCCAGGCCCCGGCCAGTTCAGGCTACATCATCCCAGGATCAGCATGGCCGTCTACCAGTGGGTAGTCACTCTGACCTTGGCTGCCCTCCTTGTTGTGGATAGGGGTGAGTGGGAAGAACCTGGATTCTCTGACTTCATGTTGGTAGGTGATCTGGGGGTGAGAGCAGAGGCAGGGCATGGAGCACCCTGTGAGTCTTCAGCTTTTGGCATGCACCTTCATTCTGCATATGCACCCTCCATTGTTGCGGGGAAGCTCTGGCCTGGGAGAAAAGAAACTTGGGTTCAAATCCTGACTCTGGCCCAGAATTGCCAAAGTCCCCTACCCTCTTGGGGCCTCAGTTTCTCCAGCTGTACAGGAGGAGATGGTTCCAGTTCAAGCTGCACTGAGCAACTAATGGGCTGGAGGTTGTGGGGGCAAAGGGAGCAGGTGGGTCCCAGCTCTCAGGAGAGACTGACAAGTATGCTGGTTGCAGGGGGTAGGTGCTAAAAGAGATCTGGCTGAGGTCTTCTGAGCTCCCGATCCCTCTGAAAGGTTGTGGTCTGTGACTTGGGAAACCATGTGAGCATGAGAGCCCTTTCCCAGGCCTGGACACATAGACCTGGGGCTCTCAAAGTGCTGGGAATTACAGGCACAAGCCACCACACTGGCCTATTTTGTTATTTTTCATTATTTTATTTTATTTTATTTTTTTAAGGCTAGTCAAGTGAAGCAGTGGGAGTTGAGAAGGAATAAAGAAATCTGTAACTGGTTGTGATCAATTAGTTGTAAACACCACTGCACTCGGACCAGCTGTATTTTTAATTTTTATTTATTTTTTGAGACAGTTTCTAGCTCTGTCACCCAGGCTGGAATGCAGTGGCACTATCTAGGCTCACTGCACCCTCTGCTTCCTGGGTTCAAGTGATTCTCCTGCCTCTGCCTCCCGAGTAGCTGGGATTACAGGTGTGTGCCATCACGCCCAGCTAATTTTTTGTATTTTTAATAGAGACGGGTTTCACAATGTTGGTCAGGCTGGTCTCGAATTCCTGACTTTAAGTGATCCACCTGCCTTGGCCTTCTCCTAAAGTGCTGGGATTACAGGCATGAGCCATGGTGCCTGGCCCCTAGATGACCTTTAAAGTGCAACTCTCCTTTTATAAGATGATGTTTTTACTTTAGGACAGGAAGTCATCATTAAATATTTGCTCTACCTGCCTAAGCAATGGAAAGATAGCTGCCACCTGCCTCAGAGGCATCCCTGGGACTGTGCAGTTTCCTAAGGAGAAACGGAAGGATTTAAAGCTGAGTCAAGGATCACTGGTGGCCTCAAGCTGGTCTTGGCCACAGATCTGGGACTTCTCTGGGTCTGTAGAGGTAACTGGCTGACTGGTGTCCTCAAAGAAACTGTTCTTTTTTTAATTAATTTTTTTTTTTTTTTTTTTTTTTGTAGAGCTGAGATCTTGCTATATTGCCCAGGCTGGTTTCTTCTGTCATCCAGGTTGGAGTGCAATGGTGCAATCTAGGCTTGCTGCAGTCTCCACCTCCTGGGTTCCAGTGATTCTCCTGCCTCAGCCTCCCAAGTGGCTGGGATTACAGGAGTGCGCCACCATGCCCAGCTAATTTTTGTATTTTTGGTAGAGATGGGGTTTTACTATGTTGGTCAGGTTGGTCTTGAATTCCTGACCTCAGGTGATCCACTCACCTTGGCCTCCCAGAGTGCTGGGATTACAGGTGTGAGCCACCCCACCTGGCCCTAATTGTTAAATTATTTTGTAGAGACGGGGTCTTGCTGTGTTGCCCAGGTTGGTCTCAAACTCCTGGCTTTCAAGTGATCCTCCTGCCTCAGCCTCCCAAAGTGCTTTTTTTTCCATCACAGATTAGTCGGCCTGGTCTAGGATTTCACATAAATTGAATCATAGGGTATGTAATCTTTTGTGTCTGTTTTTTTTTTTTTTTTTGAGACAGAGTCTTGTTCTGTTGCCAGGAGCCAGGCTGGAGTGCAGTGGCACAATCTCAGCTCACTGCAACCTCTGCCTCCCAGGTTCAAGCAATTATCTTGCCTCAGCCTCCTGAGTAGCTGGGACTACAGGCGCATGCCACCATGCCCAGCTAATTTTTGTATTTTTAGTAGAGACGGGGTTTCACTATGTTGGCCAGGATGGTCTTGATCTCTTGACCTCGTGATCCACCCACCTCAGCCTCCCAAAGTGCTGGGATTACAGGCGTGAGCCACTGCGCCTGGTGTGTCTGGTTTCTTTTGCTCAGCAAACTATTTTTGAGATTCAGCAATGTTATTGCATGTATCAGCTGCTTGCTTTTATTGTCGAGGAGTACCCCATTGTATTTATTTATCCATTCTCTTGCTGAAGGATATCTGGATCACTTTCAGTCGGGGCAATGTGACATGGAAGGGTTTTAAGCAGTTCAGTGACAAGTCTAGGTTTGCATTTTGATACCCCAATGTCAGGCTTAAACAGCATATCAGAGGTGACTTAGTCTAAGTTTGTTTCCCTCTCTGTGGAAATATCTTGTAATAGCATCTCCAGGAATAGATAAAATCACATTGTCTTGCACACCTCCAGTGATGGGAAACTTGCTGGTTCTGGAGAAAGTCTCTTTCACTGTGGCATAGCTCCCACTGAGAGAAAATTCTGCTTCATATAGAACCCAAACCTGCTTCCCTGCAGCCTCCTCACAGAGATGGGCTCTGCCCTGTGAGGTTGAAGAGTCCATCTCTCTCTCAGCCCCAGGATAGCACTTCAGAGACTTCAGGGAGCATCTCGGCCTTCTCTAAGTTACGTATATGCCCTTCCTCCCACTTGTGCCATTAGACACGGCTCCAGTTCCCTCATCTATCCATCACACTTGTCAGTCACACCAGTTTGCTCATGTCCTATAAGCAGTTCAGCCAGACCTTGAGGGGCACACTGGTGCATGTAGAGTCAGGCTCTGGAGTGCAGCAGACCCATGTGCAAATCCTAGCTCTGCCTTAACAAACTGCATTGCTTCACCTCTTTGAGCCTCTTTTGTAGTTGCTTAAACCGACCTCTGCCCCAGGAAACAGACTCTGAGATATGCATACAGTTTACTGGGGAGTTCACTGAGTTCATGGGAGTAATATCCATGAAGGATAAGGGAGGTTGACTTTGATGCAGTGTAACAGAAGCTTCAGATGAGCCTACAGGCCACTTTGGTCAAGGGGATCAGGTGGCCTTTGTAACCACATCAACCCGACATGGGCTATGGGCTGTTCCTGGGTAGAGGAAGCAACCTTGGCAAGGCAGCTCTATTCTCTGAAGGTAATTCCTAGAAGGGATTTGCAGTGAGTGGTCAATATTCCTGGCAGCTGGGGAAATGAGTAAATAAGTGCCTCAGTCTTGAGGGAGGGCTTTTGGTGGCAGAACACAGCATCCATTACTACCTCCTTTCTTCCCTCTGCTACACAGCTGTAGTAGAGAGGTGGAGAGTACTTAGAATTCCAGGTTGGATAGCTGCTGGGCCATGCTCCCTGCAGAAGCAGTCCTCAGATCCCTAGACCTGGGGTCCAGAGCTAGCATCATCTAATTCTTGCTTCTTTGTGTTTCAGAAGTGCCAGTGTCCGCAGGAAAGCTCTTTTTCTCAAGAATGGTAAGGCAGCTGCGTGCTGTTCTCGCTTTCCCTCTGCCGAGAGGAGCCCTCTCATCCATGCTGAGGAACCCGTTATTCTTCTCCATGATCCTGCTCAGACACTTTTAATGGCTTCAACGTAGCCTCCTGGCCCGTATATTCCTCAGATTAGCCTCCAAGGCTGAATAGGCCCAGCCCCCTCACCCAAGTCCCAAGATAGGCCTCAAAGCCCTTGTGATCCCCCCACCTAGTCTCCAAGGCCCCTTCCATCAGTGACATCTCCCCATGTAGGCTTAGCAGGACAGAGTGTGCTCTCTGCTCTGTATAGTGCAGATGGGCAAGCAACAGAGGGGACCCTGGCACACTGAATGCACTTGTGGAGTGTGCCAGCCTCCCCCCACCACATTCCATCTGATTGTCTAAACACCAAGTTACCCCTGAATCTGATTCCACCTTGGCCCTTGGTCTGATGTCCCCAGTGACCAGAAGGCAGTGGTGCTGATATCCTTGAGACCTTTGAGATTACCCCTTCACATAGGGGAATAAGGAGGCTCAGAGTCACCTTCCCATCTGGAGCCTCAGCATCCACCCCATCAGTCCTTCAGAATCTAGCCCCACTTATTCAGTGCCAAAGAGCCAAATACTTTACATATGTTATTTTGATTAGCCTACATGAGAGGAACACTACTGTTTTTCGGGCCTTCATGGCTACCTTTCTCACCCTATCCCTGTCTCAGGCTCTAATGCCAGTCCTAACCAAGTTCTGACCTTGACCTCAGGCTTGATCTAAAACCTTTTCAGACAGCCTCAATTAAGCCCCAAGCTCTGCCCCATTTCTCCAGCCTTCCCATCCTGTGTAGCCTTTCTGACATGGGCCTGATAGATCATGCAGGCCAGGGACAGTGCAGGAGCCCCTAGGGAGAGATGGGCCTCCTGGGAATGATGGGTGGTTCTGTGTCCTGGGGTCTTCAATGGAACTAGCAATAGAAGTTCTGGTTAGAGTCTTTGAGGAGGGTGTGAACTATCCCCAGCTGCTAGAGGACACAAACTCACTCCACACACATTAACACAGGCATACGCTTGAATGCCTGCACACCTCGGCTCCAGAGACACAGGTACACATATGTACGCACCAAAAAAAAAAAAAAAAAAAGACACATATGTACACACCAGGCATAGGCATGTACGTGGTCATGCACACATACATATAAGCAAACACACCAAGGGGCCCCGAGTGGTTGTTTTCATCTTCACTGGACCCACACTGGGGCTTTCTTGACTCTGATACCTCCCCGGGGCCTCTCTGGCTCCAAGCAGAACCCCTGTATCCCTCCCCACTGCCTCTGAATCCCTGAGTCCTCTCCCTCCCTTCTTCTCTTTCACAGCCCATCTGTGAACACATGGTAGAGTCGCCAACCTGTTCCCAGACATCCAACCTGGTCTGCGGCACTGATGGGGTCACATATACAAATGAATGCCAGCTCTGCTTGGCCCGGATGTAAGTCTGCCCCATAACCCCTGCTTTATTGGGTGGACCCCCATCTCTGGTGCACAGTCTGAAAGGAGTAAGACTTGACCTGCTTCTTCCTTATACATGCTTGACCTAAGAAGAGTCCTCTAACACATGCCCTTAATAGAATGAGCACCAGATTAATTCAAAGAAGGCACATGGTT